ATTATACTGAGTACTACTGTATACTAAGTACTCATATAATCTGAGTACTCCTGTACACTGAGTACTCCTGTAAACTGAGTACTCATATACACTGAGTACTCATATAATCTGAGTACTCCTGTACACTGAGTACTCCTGTAAACTGAGTACTCATATACACTGAGTACTCATATAATCTGAGTACTCCTGTACACTGAGTACTCCTGTAAACTGAGTACTCATATACACTGAGTACTCATATAATCTGAGTACTCCTGTACACTGAGTACTCCTGTAAACTGAGTACTCATATACACTGAGTACTCTTGTACACTGAGTACTCCTGTACACTGAGTACTCCTGTAAACTGAGTACTCATATACACTGAGTACTCTTGTACACTGAATACTACTGTATACTGAGTACTCCTGTATACTGAGTACTCCTATAATCTGAGTACTCCTGTACACTGAGTACTCCTGTAATCTGAGTACTCCTGTACACTGAGTACTTTATAATTTAAAGTAATCTTTGAACAGCTCAGAACTGATCCAGTCTGCAGTAAACCAGATGTTTCTAACAGGAAGTGGGTCTCACCATCATCCAGGTAGACCTGGTCCAGTTCCTGGGGTTCCTGTTTGATGCTAACAGTCAGAGCGGGGGGGCTGCCCTCGGTCCGGTTCCTGTCTGCCACCTTGGGGAGCTGCGGTGGAGAGTAGGGGGTGTCAGTCGGGCTGGGGGTCTGTGAGGAGGCGGCAGGAGAAGAGGAGGTGCTGGGCGGGAGGAGGTCTGGAGGCGGGAACCGGCCCGGAGTCTCCTGGATGATGGACACGTGAGGGACCTGGGACTGGGGGCCCGGCAGGTGGAGACCCTTGGAGAACGGAGGCGGAGTCAGGTCCTGCAGYTTGGGGCTGGTGCTGGGGGAGGGGGTCAGAGGGGCCGGCTTGGTGGGCGGTCTTTGCTGGCAGACGGAGTAAGCCCCGCCCACTGTCGCTCGCAGGTCAGAGGTCATCGGGGTCACGACCGGAGCGGGGTAGAACGGCTTGGGGTGCAGAGGTGGTCCAGAACCACGGTGACTGCAGACCAGGGGGGCGTCGAAGTCATCGTGAGGCTCCGYCTTTATGGTTGGGACTGAAGCAGAGGAAAACCATCAGAACCTGAACCAGACCCAAACAGATCCTGGTCTGGACCCAAACAGAACCTGAAACCTCAGAATAAAACTAGACTGGTTCTGGCTCAGGTCAGTTAGGATTCAGTAAAGACTCCGCCCCCTGATGGTACAAGCTCCTGTTCTGCTAACAGGAAGTGGGTTCAGGAGGAACAGGAAGTGGGTTCAGGAGGAACAGGAAGTGGATTCAGGAGGAGCAGGAAGTGGATTCAGGAGGAACAGGAAGTGGATTCAGGAGGAAGAGGACGTGGATTCAGGAGGAAGAGGACGTGGATTCAGGAGGAACAGGAAGTGGATTCAGGAGGAACAGGAAGTGGATACAGGAGGAACAGGAAGTGGATTCAGGAGGAAGAGGACGTGGATTCAGGAGGAACAGGAAGTGGATTCAGGAGGAACAGGAAGTGGATTCAGGAGGAGCAGGAAGTGGGTTCAGGAGGAACAGGAAGTGGATTCAGGAGGAACAGGAAGTGGGTTCAGGAGGAACAGGAAGTGGGTTCAGGAGGAACAGGAAGTGGGTTCAAGAGGAACAGGAAGTGGGTTCAGGAGGAACAGGAAGTGGATACAGGAGGAAGAGGACGTGGATTCAGGAGGAACAGGACGTGGATTCAGGAGGAACAGGAAGTGGATTCAGGAGGAAGAGGACGTGGATTCAGGAGGA